CCTGCCCGCTCCTGTGCTCGTGCTCGGGCTGCCCGTGCACGTGTCACAGGACCCTTCTGCTGAGGTCGCCTCTCCTTCACCGCCGCTGTGTTCGTCTGGTGATCCGTTGTCCGCTCGCTCTTCTCGTTCTCCAGCACAAGCACCCCTGACCCTCTCACTTCTTTAACCTTCCACCTCTCCGTTCCCAACCCTATGTCCAGCGCCTCTTCCTGCCCCCTTGTTGCTGCCGCTGCTCATATCGATGTTCATCCCTCAGCTGCGCCATGTGTAGGTTCTCCAGAGCTGCAGGGAGCATCTCCCGCATGTATCGTGCTCTTGCCTCCACCAGAGCCACCCATTGTTCTCGCCCTTTCATGCTCACTACCTCCGTCAGCACCTCCGGTGCTCCCACAGGTAATATTGGTTCCTTCTCGAATAGCAGGCTATAAGGAGAGTAATCCTTCAGCAATGCCTGTTTCCCAAACCTGTACCCTACCGCGATTCAATCTACGTCCTCATCCCATCTGCTTTTCCCCGTACGTCCTTAGGTTCTGCTTCAAGATCTACACCAGACGCTCGATCAACCCATCACTCTGGAAGTGGTACCTTGACGTCTGCCTGTGTGTTACCCTTGCCTTATCCAGCAATGCTTGGAATCCCCCCTTGAACTCAGTACCCTGATCGGTGAGTACTTCCCCTGGCGCCCCGAACCTGCACAGCACCTGCCCCTTGAATGCCCTTACCACGTGCATGGAGTCCTTGCTCAGTATCGCACATACCTCTAACCATTTGCTCGCATGCTCCACCATGAGCAGGATGTACCTCTTCCCTCCTCTGCTCAGCGGCAGCTCGCCGGCCAAGTCCGGAGACCATCTAAACCCCAGCCCTCTTATCGGCAGTGACTACAGCTCCCGCTTCGCCTGCGTCAGGCTGGCCATGCTCCTCTGGTAGCCTTCGCATCCACTGACCCATTCTCTGACCTGTCTCCCCATTCCTTCCCACCACCAGCCTGTCTTGCGCAGTTGAGTTGTGCGCTCATGGCTGAAGTGTCCTAACTTCCGGTGCACCTCCTCAATTACCCCCTCTCTCTCTTGTGGTGCAGGTACCAGCTTCCACCCATCCACAGACTGCAGCTGCAATTGTCCCTTGTACCAATCGGTAATGGTGCCCTCTTGCCCTGACCCAGTCTGACACCTGCTCATCCTCCTTGGTCTCCCCTTTGATCCATCGCAGGGCCGTCGGATCTTCCCATATGTTCTGCGGACCCCTCTTCGTTTGCTTTTCTGCTGCTGCTCTCTCCCCTTGCTTGGCCAGCAGCATCAGCGTGTGCACTGGTTCCGCTGCGGGTGGGTTCCTCAAGAGCCCGTCCACGTGCTGCAGAGTTTTCCCCGGCCTGTGGCATATCTTGAAGTCATATTCCTGCAGCATCACGGCCCAACGCGCGTTTCTCCCCGTCAGCCCCTGGTCTGTCTTCAACCAATGCAGTGGTTGATGATCTATAATCAGTGTGAATCCCCTCCCTTGCAGGTACACTCTGAAGTGCTTCATGGCCCACACAGCCGCCATCCCCTCCCCATGGAGCTGTACTTGGACTCTCCCCGGTTGCAGCTCCTACTTGCGTAAGCCACTACAGTCTCCTCCCCGTCCCGCTCTTAGCACTGGATTGCACCCATGCCTTGGCTGCTCCATTCAGTATACAGGCAGAAGGGCTTGTCGGCCTTGGGCAGCTCCATAATTGTCGCCGTCTGCACCGCCTCCATCAGGTCCTTCAATGCCATTTCCTGCTCTGTTCCCCACTCCCACTTTCTGTCCTCCCTCAGCAGTCCATTCAGAGGCGCTGCGCGCTTGCTGAAATTTGGGATGAACCTACAGTAGTAACTCAGAAACCCCAGCGCAGCCCTCAGTACGCTCCTGTTCTTCGGCTGCTGCAACCTGTTCAATACCTCGATCTTCGCCTGCTGAATCCCTATCTGCCCACCCCTGACCTCATACTCCAGGTACTATACGGTCGCCTCTCCCCACCTGCATTTTTTGGGTGGCAGATCAGCCCTGCAGCCGAAGGCGCTTTGAGTGTCTGCTCCACGTCTCGCACATGCTCTTCTTCGCTCTTGCTGAAGATCACTACGTCATCTATGTAGCATGCTGCACACTCCAATCCCCTCAGCACACTGTCCATCACCCTTTGAAAGATGGCTGACGCGTTCCTCAGCCCAAATGGCATGAACAGCCATTCATACAGCCCATCCGCGCCATGAAATGCCGTCTTCCTCACGTCTTTCTTCCTTATCCTGATCTGATTATTTCCCTGCCTAGTGTGCTGAAGATCTCTCCTGCCCCCAGTTGGTCAAAAAAGTCCTCAGCCATTGGCATTGGATACCTATCGGGCACTGTCACCTTGTTCAGTGCTCGGTAGTCCCCACACATGCGTCCAGGAGGTCCTTCCGTGCGGCCACCACTGTCGGTGTTGCATACCCTGACTCTGATCTCTGTATCAGCCCTGCTTCTAACAGCTCCTCACACTTCTCCTTGTAAATGTCCTCATCTCCAGGTGTCATTCTCCACTTTCTCTAAACACTGGCTCTTCCGCGGTCAGATTCAACTCCATCTCCTTCACCAAACACTTTCCCAGCTCTTGCACTGTAAATGCGAAGGCATGTCTGTACCTTGCCAGCACTTCTTGCATCGCCTCCTTCCCCCTCTCGCTCATCGCATTCCCCACAACCCATGTTGGCTCTTCTTTGGCCACCACACACGCCCATGCCCCAACCTTTTTCACCCTTGCTCCTTCACTTCCTGGTTCCTGCTCCCCTTCCAGCACCAGCCCTCTCCACATCTGTCTCATTAACCATTGCATGTCATGCCCGTCCATTGCCTGTCCTAATGCCTTCCTCCTTTCCTGTACTGTCACCCCTGCTGCCTTGGTTACCCTTCTCGCCATACCCCATTGCTAGCTCCCGCTCCAATGCGGTGGGTTCCTCACATTTCCTTGTCCTGAGTTCATACACCATACCCTCTCCTGGCACTCCATCTCACACACTTGTGTGAAAGGGACGTGTCCCTAGCCTGGAACCCGCGTTGCTGGTTCCAACAGACTTCCACGAAATTCTTCTATCAGATCGCGCAGGGCGGTATGCGATCGAGATATTGCGTCAGATTGGGGCAATCGAACCCAATCCAATCCGGTCCAACCCGATCGACGATCAATTGCGGTCGATTGCCCCTGTCTACACCACGGCATAAGTATGCACCATTATGCAACAAAATATTGCAGTCCGTGGAGTTTCGATGTTTTCCAGCTGACGGCATCGCGAGGAAAATCAATTCATCCGCTCGCATTGGTTCGCCCTTGTGCAAGACGATTCATTGGTGCAATCTGGTGAGCACCAAGATATATTAAGGCTCCTGCACGTGTGTCTAAGCTCTCACAACATATCGCCATATCGATCTAAAACAACGCAGCATTTCTCATCAAGAGCCCATATTGTAAGTTATTTCGTATCATACTTTGCAATATATCAAAGATATTCCTTTTCATTTTTCCCACTGAAGCAACAATCCCTAAATAACGTCACATGTATATTCTGTCAAACAGTTCTAGTGTTTGTGTTATGTAGGCTATAGTGCGGTAGCCCATATGGGGTACAACCCAATTAGGGTTACTTGTACCCAACATTCTCATAGTTCATTCATTCCCGCTTATTCTTCTGACATGGTTTCAGAGCAGGTCCTGTTCCAAGAATGTTTTTTTTCCTAGGGCCCACTGATTCGTTAGCTGCCCGTAGCGCCCTACCCCACCAGTCGCGCTGCCTTGCCCTGCCCTGACACTCGCGCCGCCCTGCTGGCCTCGTGCTGCCCTGCCCTACCTATCGCGCTGCCCTGCTGGCCGCGCGCTGCACTGCCCTGCCCACGCGCCGCCCTTTGCAGCCCGCGCGCTGCCCTTTGCAGCCCGCACGCTGCCCTTTGCAGCCCGCGCACCGCCCTATGCAGCCCGCAAGCCACCCCTTGCAGCCCGCGCGCTGCCCTACACGGCCCGCGCGCCGCCCTCCCTGCCCGCGCACCGCCCTTCTCTGCCGCGCGCTGCCCTTCCCTGCCGCGCGCCGCCCTCCCCTGCCGCGCGCCGCCCTGCTGGCCTCCACGCCGCCCTACACAGCCCGCCCGCCGCCCTTCCCTGCTGCGCGCCGCCTTGCTAGCCGCCGCGCTGCCCTGCCCTACCCTCGCGCCGCCCTGCTAGCCGCCACACGGCCCTTCCTGCTTGCGCGCCGCCCTGCTGGCCGCCGCACCACCCTGCCCTGCCCGTGCGCCGCCCTGCTGGCCGCCACCCTGTCCTGCCCCGGCCGCACGCCTCTCTTCCCTAGCCGTGCGCCGCCGCGCTCTACCCTGCGCGCTTCACTGGCGCTTGCGTGCCGCCCTGCCCTCTGCGCCGTCCCTGCATGCGTGCTGCCCTGCTGGTCGCATGTCACTCTGCTCTGCTAGCTATGGCTTCTCTCAGTGTTCTCACTTTTGATCCGAAGGGCTGTCCGATCCAATTCGATACGTGGCTCGACGACTTACAGCTGTACCTACTGAGCGACTCTAGAGACAGCGTTTCGTTGTTTGACGACATGTCTGGAGCCTCTCTCGCCCCTCCTGACACAGCTGACAGTGCGACCCGCTCACAGTAGCTTAGCCGTGACGCTGCTGCTCGCCTAGCCATTCACAACCATTTACCGTTAGTCGAATGCGCCCACTTTGGCCAGCACAAGACTGCTAAAGCCCTGTACGACGCTGTAGTCGCCCGTAACTCCTCCCCTGCCACTACTGCTCTCGGCTGCCTTATACTGCCCTACGTTTTTCCCAAGCTGTTCGCCTTTGCCACAGTTGACGACCTCATTACCCACCTTCGCACTAGCGACACTCGCTACCGCGTTGCAGTGCCCACCAAGTTTCAAGACAAGAACTCTCCCCCCATGTACATCCCTCTCTACTTCATAGGCACCCGCCTCCTTGACTCTCTTAGCGCAGTCAGGGACCTCTTTCTTGCCATGGACCCCACGGACTTCACTGTCGACCTGCTTGAGAAGCACCTCCTTGCAGCTGAGACTAGCATAATTGTTGTAGGTGCTGCTCGTGGCACTCCTCACACTCCCTTCTTTGAGGGGTGTTCCCCTTCCCCCCTTGCCCCCTCCTACGCTTCTGCTGCTGCTGTTGACCTCCTTGGTGTTGAGGAGGTCGGGGCTGCGTCTGCTCCTAATGGGAGGCGCCGCAGCGGCAAGGGCAAGGGAGGCAAAGGTGGTGGAGGTGGCAGCGGGGGAGGCGGTGGTGGAGGCGGTGGAGGCGGTGGAGGTGGCGGTGGGGACGGTGGGAGTGGTGGCGGGAGTGGGGGCGCAGGTAGCGGCAATGGTGGTAGCAATGAGAGTGGTGGAGGCGGTGGTGGCGGCAGTGGGAGTAATGGCGGTGGTGGCAGCGGCGGCGGTAGCGGTTGGGGTGGACCCGGTCAGAGGGGAGGTTCCGGCGGTGGTCAGAGGCAGCAGCAGCAGCATCCCTGTGAGACCCCTACGCCCCAGGAGCTTCGTGAGTGGTTTGCTTAGCGTGGGGCGTCTAGGGGGAGTGTTCTCCATCAGAACGTCATTCGCACAGGTGACCGCGATGGTCAGATATGCGAGAAGGTTGGTCACATATGTTGAGATAGTAAGAGTAGGGCCTAGGCTTAGTAGCCTAGGCCAAAGGGAGTCGAGAGAGTTTAGGCAAAGAGTCGGGAGTTCACTATTGAGCGAGGTACAAATAGCAAACAAAGCATGCAAAGAAGGTGCACCACCAACAAGTTTATAATAACTACACTAACTACAGCTACAGGCAGTTACAGATATATTTTAACACTCCCCCATAACTGCCTGCAGCAGAAGCTAATGCAGAGACACCCCCTGAAGGGGTACACCAAGCGCAGCAGAAGGAGAGGGCAAGTGAGGAGGAGGGACTATATGAGGAGAAGCTGCTGGCAGGTGAAGCTGCTGGCTCCAAGGCGGCTGCTTCCCGGAACCTTCCTCAGTCCTCCAACTCCCCCTTCCACACTCCTCGACAACCCTAGCACCTCTCCCCCAGCTCCCCCACACCCTCACACCCACCCCCCCCTCCCCCCAGCGGCAGCTGCAGCAGTGGGAGAGAAAGGAGGAGGAGGGGAAGGGGATCACACACACCCATCACCCCCATACCCGCCACCCCCATAGCCTCCGTTCCACGGCTGCACGCGCAGCAGGGAGACGAAGAAGGGGGAGGGGGAAGAGCAGGGGCAGCATAGGCACGGGCAGGGCAGCCGCGCGTGCAGGGCAACAGCGCGGAGCAGGGCAGGGCAGCCGCGCATGCAGGGCAACAGCGCGGAGCAGAGCAGGGGCAGCAACAGGCGGCAACGGGCAGCACAGGCACGGGCAGCAACGGGCGGCGACGGGCAGCACACGCACGGGCAGCAACGGGCGGCAACGGGCAGCACAGGCACGGGCATCAACGGGCGGCAACGGGCAGCACAGGCACGGGCAGCAACGGGCGGCAACGGGCAGCACAGGCACGGGCAGCAACGGGCGGCAACGGGCAGCACAGGCACGGGCAGCAACAGGCGGCAACGGGCAGCACAGGCACGGGCAGCAACGAGCGGCAACTGGCAGCACAGGCACGGGCAGCAACGGGCGGCAACGGGCAGCACAGGCATGGGCAGCAACAGGCAGCAACGGGCAGCACAGGCACGGGCAGCAACGGGCGGCAACGGGCAGCACAGGCACGGGCAGCAACAGGCAGCAACGGGCAGCACAGGCACAGGCAGCAACGCGCGGCAACAGGCAGCACAGGCGCGGGCAGCAACAGGCAGCACAGGCACGGGCAGCAACGGGCGGCAACAGGCAGCACAGGCACAGGCAGCAACGGGTGGCAACGGGCAGCACAGGCACAGGCAGCAACAGGCAGCAACGGGCAGCACAGGCACAGGCAGCAACGGGCGGCAACAGGCAGCACAGGCACGGGCAGCAACGGGCGGCAACGGGCAGCACAGGCACGGGCAGCAACGGGCGGCAACAGGCAGCACAGGCACAGGCAGCAACGGGCGGCAACAGGCAGCACAGGCACGGGCAGCAACAGGCAGCACAGGCACGGGCAGCAACGGGCGGCAACGGGGAGCACAGGCACGGGCAGCAACAGGCGGCAACGGGCAGCACAGGCACGGGCAGCAACAGGCAGCAACGGGCAGCACAGGCACAGGCAGCAACGGGCGGCAACAGGCAGCATAGGCACGGGCAGCAACGGGCGGCAACGGGCAGCACAGGCACGGGCAGCAACGGGCAACACAGGGAGGCAGCCGTACCGAGTCCAGGAGCGGCGGCGCATGCAGCTGCAGGGTCGGCGCCGTGGGCTGCTGCTAAGTCCAGGGGCGGCTTCACCAGGGGCAGCTGCTCCAGGGGCCAGGGGCAGGAGCTCTGGGTCCAGGGGCGGCTGCAACAGAGGCGGCTGCACCAGGGGCCAAGGGCGGCTCCGGAGGTCCAGGGGCGGCTGCACCGGGGGCGGCTGCTCCAGGGGCCAGGGGCGGCTGCTCTGGGTCCAAGGGTGGCTGCTCCAGGGGTGGCGGCGGCTGGTCCAGGGTCCAGGGGCAGCTGCTCCAATGGCGGCGCTGGTGCATGGCAAAGGCGGTGGGCAGGGGGGAGGGCGCCGCGACGAGCAAGGACGACGCCCAAGGGGCGCCGCGACGAGCAGGGACGGGGCCCAAGGGGCGCCGCGACGAGCAAGGGCGACGCCCCAGGGGTGCCGCGACGAGCGGGGCCGGCGTCCAGGAGGCGCCGCGACGAGCAGGGACGGCGCCCAAGGGGCGCCGCGACGAGTAAGGGCGACGCCCCAGGGGCGCCGCGACGAGCAGGGGCGGCGTCCAGGGGGCGCCGCGACGAGCAGTAGCGACGCCCCGCGGGTCCCGCAGGGGCGTCGCGACGAGCAGGGCGACGCCGCGCGGGTCCTGCAGGGTCGTCGCGACGAGCAGGAGCGGCAACGCCCGGGTCCCGCAGGTGCGTCGCGACGAGCAGAAGCGGCGCCTCGCAGGGCGCCGCGAAGTGGAGGGTACGGGCGGGCAAAACAGGCCCGCGCGTGGACGTGAGGCAGGCGCGCAGGCGGCGTGAAGGCAGGCCGCGCGCGGGGCAGGAAGACGCCGCGTGCCCAGGGCGCACGGCGGGCAGAAAACCGCCGTGCGCCCCGAGCACACGGCGAGAAAAATACGCCGCGCGCCCGAGGCGCGCGGCAGGACGATAGGCAGCGGAAGCAAATTGGTGGGCCCGTTAAGGAAGGCAGCAGGAAGGTACCTGCTCTGAATACCATGTTGAGATAGTAACAGTAGGGCCTAGGCTTAGTAGCCTAGGCCAAAGGGAGTCGAGAGAGTTTAGGCAAAGAGTCGGGAGTTCACTATTGAGCGAGGTACAAATAGCAAACAAAGCATGCAAAGAAGGTGCACCACCAACAAGTTAATAATAACTACACTAACTATAGCTACAGGCAGTTACAGGTATATTCTAACAACATACAGTCCCGCTACTTCTCCCGTCTTGTCGACGCCAGGCGCGCAGAGTTTCCCGACGCGACTGAGCTCCTCTACTGCCTGGAGCTGCTTAGGAAGGGTGTGGATATCTTTGCTCTTGACTATGACGCTATCCTTGCTGCCATGTATGCTCTGACTGTTAGAGCTGAGGGTGACTGTTACCTGTGTGTGCCTCCCGACCCAGGTATAGAGGCTGCTGCTCTAGGTGCTAGTGAGTCTGCTCTCCCTGGTACTACACCTGCTGAGGCCTTGCACACCTTTGCGCTTGACTCAGGTGCTTCCTGCTGCTTCTTTCGTGACAGTACCACAGTCTCGCCACTCCCAGCACCGATTGCAGTCTCTCTGGCTGACCCCTCATGGGGCCCGGTTCTTGCACGTTCCTCCACTGTTCTCCCGTGTCCAGCGGTTCTGTCTGGCTCATTGTTTGGTGTTCACCTCCCCTCATTCTCTACGAACTTGGTGAGCAACTTCGTCCTTTAAGATGAATGGGTTGATACATTTACCCCTAGAAGACAGCGTGTGGCGATCCGTACGTGCTCCAGAACTGGCCGTCACTTGGCCACGTTCACCCGTCGGCCAGGGTCGAGTCTGTACACACTGACTACTGAGCTTCCTCAGGTAGCTGCGTCTGCGTCCGCGTTAGATCAGCTAGCAGCCCCCTGTTCGTGACGCCTCCTGTCGCACCAGACTCTTCTTTGGCACCACCGCCTTGGTCACAGCTCCCTGCCACACCTCCGTGGCATGCGCTCTCGCCTCCTTGTCTCTAGTCTTCCCAGGACTCTACCTCCCCTCCCACCCTTTCCTGCCCCTCCTTGCCTTCCCGTTATCGAGGGGTGGCAGTGCTTTGCTCCTCACTCCTCCTCGTTTCCCCCGACGACTGCTCCCCTGCAGACTCTCCACATGGACGTGTAGGGCCCAGCCAGCGTCCGTGGACAGGGTCGCGAATGAAACTTTCTGCTGGTTGTTGACGACTACTCGCGGCACACCACTGTCTTCCCATTGCGCAGCAAGGGGGAGGTCCCTGATGTTTTGATCCCCATCTCCGCGAGCGGTTCCACGCGGACCTTTTTGTCCTGTGTATGCACTCTGACAGAGGTGGTGAGTTTGCCTCCGACCTCTTGTGTAACTTGTGTCATGCGGAGGGCATCCACCAGTCGTTCATGCTTCCGGCCTCTCCGTAGGAGAATGGGGTTGCTAAGCGCCACATTGGCTTAGTCATGGAGTTCGCTCGTACCTCCATGATCCATGCGGCTGCTCCCCATTTTCTGTGGCCGTTTGCGGTCCGCTACGCTGCGCATCAGCTCAACCTCTGGCCCCGTGTCTCCTTGCCGGAGACCTTGCCATACTGCGTTGGACGGGGGAGGTTGGCTATGCGTCCGTGTTTTGAGTCAGGGGCTCTCGTGCCTTTGTCCACGGTACCTCCGCGGACAAGCTCTCCTCCCGCACCATTCCCTGCGTCTTCCTTGGCTTTCCCCTTGACGCGCCTGGCAGGCAGTTTTACCACCCCACCACGCGCCGTGTCTTCCCCTCTCAGGTTGTCACGTTTGACGAGTCGGTTCCTTTTTACCGTCTCTTCCCCTACCGCACTACCCCTCTCCCCCCCTCACCACTCTTCCTCGCTCCAGGTCCCCTTCCGGTAGCTATGAGGATCTAGGATCAAGCTTAGAAAAGAGAATTGTAATTGAATGATCACCTGGGTACAACACGAGGCTGTGAAAATAACGAGGAAGTGAATGAGAGAAGAGGAGAGGTGGGTACAAGTAGGAAAACCTAAAATTGTTGTACCCCATATTGTCTACCCCACTACAGCCTACACTGACTATAGCATATGAGTTTGACACACCCCCATAGGCAAAGTGGGGGAGAACAAGAGTTCACAAGACCAGTCAAGCAAAGCAAAGCAAGCTCAGGGTGGATCACAACGTCACCACACAGTCCGAGCACAAGAGCAAGGCCACAAGGCCAGTTCACATGCAAGATCATATATAAAGGTAAAAAAGCAAGTGCAGGTATAGAAAGATAACAGTAGAAGCAAGGTCAAGAAGTGAGCAAGTGAGGCCAAGTAGGCACAAGACCTAGCATCGTACAGAAGCGCTGATGATCACAAGGCGGAAGTGCCTTGGTAAAGATATCAGCAGTGTTGGCCTCAGAGGCCACGTAAGCAAGGCGCAGCTGGCCACGCTGCTGCAGCTCACGAGCAAGGAAGTAGCGAAGAGCAATGTGCTTCATTCTGTGCTCCAGTCTGTGCTCCCGACACAAGGCCAGCATGTCCTTGTTGTCTACGCACAGAACTGGAGGAGAACGAGGCGGCTCTCCTAGGTCACTCAGCAGGTAGGTGAGCCAGCGTAGCTCCTGTGCAGCCATGGCCCCTGCGTAGATCTCAGCCTCACAGCTGGAGCCTAGAACAGAAGACGAGCGGGTAGACCGCCACGAAACAGAGCCGGAACCAAGGCTGAAGGTGTAACCATGTGACGATCGCTGCGTAGCCTGGTCGTCAGCCCAAGAAGCGTCTGCGTGACCTGTGAGGACCACTGGACGTCGCCCTCCAAGCACTAGCCCCATGCGCGACGTACTGCACAAGTAGCGCAACACCCTCTTCACTGCAGCCATGTGCTCTGGTCGGTGTCTCCCAGGAGCAACATAGCGTGCCAATATGCTAAGAGGGTATGCTAGGTCAGGTCGTGTGCAGGTCATCAGGTACATGAGGCAGCCAACAAGCTCTGGGTACGGGCCACTCGGCTCTACGGACTCATCCGAAGGCAGAGCTGAGAGCGAGTGGCGAGTAGACAGAGGAGTGGCCTGAGGCGAGGAGTACGTGAAGTCAAAGCGCTGAAGGACCTGCTGCACCATGTGTGACTGAGTGAGGGTAATGGTGCGCTGTCCTCTGTCCCGGGTGATCTGCAAGCCAAAGTAGCTGCGCAGTTCACCCAGGTCTGTGCACGTGTGTCTCTTCTGCAGCTCGGACTTCACGTGGGCAAGTCGAGCGGTGTCAGCACTGGCAAAGACCAAGTCGTCCACGTACACGAGGATGTAGAACGGCGGCAAAGAAGTGTCGGTGCGCAGAAACAGCGACGGGTTGGCAGTAGAGGGAGCAAACCCAAGAGCCGCAAGTGTATTCCTCAGTGTCTCGTGCCACTCACGGGGCGCCTGGCGGAGACCGTAGACTGGCCGCCGGAGGCTCCACTGGGTACCAGGAGGAAACGACCCAGTGAAGCCAGGTGGGCGGCGCAGCCAGATCTCCTCGTGCAGGCTGCCATGCAGGAAAGCTGTGCTGAAGTCAAGAGAGTGAAACTCGTAGTCGCGCTGAGCAGCTATGTGCAGCAGCACCCAAAGAGTGGTCATCTTCGGGGTGGGAGAGAAGGTCTGAAAGTAGTCAACTCCCTGCCGCTGACTGAAGCCTCGAGCCACGTAGCGTGCCTTGAAGACAGGCGGAGAACCCGGCGGCCGCTTCACCCTGAAAATCCACATGCCACTGACGATGTTCGCCCCAGGTGGGGGAACCTCATCGACGTAGGTGCTTGTGGACTTCTAGGAAGCCATCTCTGCATCCATGGCTGACTGCCACTGTGAGGAGTAGGGACCCTCGATCGCCTCCGCGTACGATCGAGGAGTCGGGATGTCTGGTGCATCCGGGTCTCCCTCAGGGGCAATCAGTGTGGACACGAGATGAGGCAAAGCAGCAGCAAAAGACTAGAACTCCTCCTGCCTGTCCTC